AATAATTTCATTTACAGCAAAAAAAAAAAAAAAAATTAAAAATAAGAATTAGAATTACTGGAAAAAAAAATCTAAATAATTTTGATAATTATTTTAAACATTTTAAATTAAAATTAAAGATAAATAAATGTTTGAAATAACAGAATAAATTAAAAATATCCTGATTTTAAATGCAATATATCACAATGTCAGTCTCAATGAGATAAACTCTTTGATCATCTATCGTGAATACTAAAATAGATTTGATATATAATATTTTAAACTTAAAACTTTTATATTTAGATATATAATATTATACATTTATATTTATATATAAATAAATATAAATATAGAGTTTAATATTTTAAAACAAAACATTTATCAAGTATAAATATGATCAACAGGAATATTTTTTTTATATTCTGCACTGGATTTTTCGTTCTGTACAGTGCTGTTCCCTACGATGAGCGGAGATATCACAGTCGTCGGATTTTGTTCTTCTATACAAACCGATGGTTTCTTCACGTTGATATTTTGGTCGCCGAACAGTTTAATCTGATTCGTTTGAATTCCTTGCTGATTGGAATTCGTTTCTAGTACAGGTAGTTGATACTGCTTAACTTCTTCATTTTGCACTGAAGGTGATGCCATAATTACTCTATTAACAGATGATCCATTCACTGTTGATTCCATATATTGTTTGATTTGTGTGTTCAAACTGTTTGAATTCATTGTAAATATCTGAATTGGATTAATATGCTTCTGCTTAACTAATATATTTGGAACAGTTCTAACATTCCTACTATTGTTTATTTGGTTTCCAATTAACAACGATTTATCACATGTTACAGAATTTGTTGTTTTAATTGGAGATAATTGCAATGATTTTGAAGGTGATAATTTCAATGGCTGTTGTACCACTGCGACTGGAAAATTCTGATGAGTCGAAGTTGGAGAGGAAATTACTTTAGAATCAAGTTTACTACTATTGCCTGACGTTAAGACTGGAATTTCATTAGAAGATAAAATTTTGTTAGTTTGAGAAGATGCAGATGTATTTGTGGTAGATGAATCTATAATTATTGATGGTGATTGCGATATTTGAAAAGTTTTTACTAATGTTTCATTCTTCTTTGATGAGCCTGAAGAATTTGTGGGTGATAAGTGTAAAAGTTGGAGGGATGACACATCTTGAGGGCATTCTAGCTGTTGTGATTCTGTTGCTTTAGAAGATAAAATAGATGCGTTTCCAATTATTTGTATTGACTGATAAGCAGAAGGTTGAGTGGATGAAAAATTTCTACTCAAAGTAACAGAACTAGATGGAGCAGTAGAATCTAGTTGTGTGGAATGATCGTCGTTTATTACTGGCTTTGCATTTTTTATTATAGGAATAACCATTTTTGTTTGAGTATCTTTTAAATACTTATCTAGAGAAATATTTTGTCCTTCTTTAAGATATGCATGACTGTCATTAACATTATTCAATAATATAGAATTTGAATTATTCTGTGTAGAATTTACTGAAATAGCCATAGGAACAGATAAATTTTTCGAGTTATCTAATGAAACAGTTGTTTCTTTTAATAAAATATGAGGTTTAGTAACATTAGATGTTGTTAATGCATTATTTTCTTCAGTTACTTTGCTTTTTGAAGAGTCAGTAGTTTGAGTTACTGGTATACACTGCAGATATATTTTATTTCCTTTGTGATCAACAATAGATAATAACTGAGGTGCAGATTTTGATTGAATAGACGATTTCTGTTCATGCGTATCATTATTTTTAAAAACTGTTGACGATAATTTCAAATTGTAAAATTGCAAATGTGGAGAATTTTTCCCTTCGATAATATTTTTAGAATTTCCTTTAATTTGAATTTTTACTGGTTCACTATTGGTTTCTTTGTTTGATTTTAAATTCTGCATTTCACTAGAAATACTCATATTATCTTTCTTCTCTTCATAAACTTGTTTTTCTTCTATTTTCTCAATACTTTCACCTTCCAGCTTTGAAGGAATGTTTGATAAAGAACTTGACAATTTTAATTCCGAATCTAAATGTAGAGGTATATTGTTGGAATTAATAGATGAAGTAGATGTGGTTGCATAAGAATATGACTGACATTTTGAGGTCACTGGTTCTGTCTCTAGTTTGGTTAAAAAGTCAGCTGCTTCATCAGTTTCATAAGATCCAGAACTTAGTATCTGATCATCATTACTAACAGAGGAACATAATGCACTTTTGTCTTGTACTTTCTTTGTTTCATTTTCTAATTCAGGCATATCACAAGTCGTTTTTTCTTCCTTTTGGTGTATCGATTTATTTAAAATACTTAATAATTTACTTCCTGATTGTCCTTTTTGTTCCTGAGATTGGTCTTGATCAACTTTATTTGCCGATAAAATTATTTGTCGTAACGTTTCCCATTCGTACTGCCCTTTTGCTTGATCAACTGTTTTAGATATCAAATTTTTATTAATACCATCATTCATATTATCTATGTCTGATGTCGTGTTTGAAGAGTCACAAAGTTTTTCTTTTTGATTACTTATTTTTTTGGTTCTAATTTGACGTTCTTCAGTCACAGTATTCATTTTTCTAATTTTTCGTATACGACCTCTTGAACTTACAGAAAGTTCAAATTCTGAAGAATAATCTACTTCTTCATTGTCATTTTTAGTATTAAAACTGCGTTTACGTTGGGTTCTTGTATTATTGATTTCTTCCTCGGAAGAATCGTTATCTGGAGAATCATTACAATCTACAGAGTCTTCGTTATTTTCAGTACAAAGAATGGCATTTGCCTGTTCTTCATCTGGTTCATTGTCCCAGATGGTTTCTGCAGTTTCCTTCTGAAATTCAAATAAAATTTCAAATTAATGGTACAAAAATAAATATCTAATAGTTTATAAATTAACTGTACTTTAATTTTAACAAGCTCTTAAAACTAATAATTGATATTTTAATAATAAAGATACATCAAGTAATAGCATAAATTATGTTCATAATACATATGTGTTATTTCACTTAAAAAATTTTCAGCTTTATAAATTATAACTATAATTTATAAACACACCTTTAACCTACTAATTATACACCTCCCACACATTTAAAGTATACCACGGACTGCTAGAAACTTAAATTAAAAAATAAATACATTACTTGTTTATTAATGCATTAGTGAAATAAGATGGTCAAGGAAAAATTAAATCCAGTTAATGAACCATACCATACATGTTACACAGCTGAAATACCAAGGTCCATTTTTTCAACAGTTCTACTTTATCTTGGATTGATATGGATTGGTGCTTACGCTTGACAACACCATTGACACTCAACTCTTAAAATCCATAGCTAGAGTTAAATTTAAGAAAAATACACTGAAAATATCACAGAATAGCAGTATCATCACCAAGTGAAATGTAAATAATATAAATATGCCTTACACACAATACCATATGTGACTGCAGGAATTTCAAGTTCTCTTTCATAATTTTATCTAAATTAAGGGAGGTACTAGACTGTCAGTTGTTGGAAATTTGATGGTATACTTGTACTATTAAATACTTTTAAGTTGTAACAAGAATATGATTGGAAAATCAGGAAGTGCATACTTTAGTGTAAACTAAACTCTACTTGAGTAAAACTCTTAACAGTTCTCATCAACTATTTTTTTCTAGTCAAAAGGTTATATGTAGTGTTCTAAATAATATTGGTTAATATTGATTTCTTTCTTCTAGATGTGTATTACCACACTTGTTGTCAAAGCTTTTGAGTTTGACCCATCTGCAAAGAAAATTGTAAGACTATTTTTCTTAAAATTAATTCCTAGTTTCCGTAATTTATGATATAAGATTTCACTTGCAATAGACTCACTGGCACCTGTATCTACACATGCACTACCCCTTAAGCCATTTATAATGATGCCACTTTAGAAGGAGTTGTAAGACTATGATATACCTGATATAAAAACAGTCTGATTCAGTTTCCTCTTGCACTGGTGAACACATTGGGCATTTCCTTCAAATATAACCAGGCATAACAACTTAAGAGATTTTTATCTCTGCCAAAACTATCATCATTTTCTTTGATCTCTCTTCTCCTGAAGGCAAATTATTAGAATTACGAGCACCACTACTTTCCTTAGGAGTTGCCGAAGATAACTGCTTATTTTGCACCTTCTTTTATAACACATTCAGTCAATAAGTCTCTGGTCTAAGTAAAAAAACAATTTTTTTTAGAAATTCGACTTTATTCATCAACATACTCTCCTTCAAGAGTGATACATTCATTCCAACACTCCTTTAACTTTTCAATGCCTTTTTTGTAGAATGATTTGTCTTTGCTCTCAAAATAGGCCTCAGTTTCGGCAATCAATTCTTCATTTGAGCCAAATTTCTTTCCCTGGATAATCTTTTTGATGTCTGCAAAAAGCCAGTAGTCGCTGGGGGCCAGATCTGGAGAGTACGGTGGGTGATGAGGAAGCAATTCAAAGCGTAACTCATTCAATTTAACCATCGTTTTCATTGACTTGTGATATGGGGCATTATCTTGATGGAACAGCACTTTTTTCTTTTGCATGTGAGAGCGTTTTTCTTGATTTCTACACTCAATCGATTCAATAGTGCCATGTAATATTCACTATTGATAGTTTTACCTTTCTCAGGATAAACAATGAACAAAATGCCATGCACGTCCCAAAATATGAATGCTATAATCTTGCCAGCTGACTTTTGAGTTTTTGGTTGCTTTGGACGGTGAAATGACTTTCACCGGCTGCTGTCCACTCAGAGGTCAATAAAAGTCATCCAAATCGGATGATTTTTTTGATTCAAGTGTGGTAATGGATCCATGTTTTATCCATTGTCACATACCAATGCAAGAAATCTTTTTTATCTCGCTTAAACAGCTCCAATCAGCACTCTGAATTGTCGACATGTTAATGCTTTTGGTCTGGTGTGAGCAAACGCGGCACCCACTTCGAAAGCAACTTACACATGCTCAAATTTTCGTGTAAAAGCAAACAAACTACCTTCTGATATCTTTAAGGTATCTGCTATCTCACACAACTTCACTTTATGGTCTTTCAAAACTATTTTGTGGACTTTATGTTTTCCGGAACAACTGCCAATTTTGGGCGACTAGGGTGTTCAGCATCATTGGTGTTTGTATGACCGCATTTAAATTCAGCATACCAAATCAATAATAGTTGATTTCCCTGGTGCAGAGTCTCTATAATGCTTATCAAGCCACTGTTTGGCTTCAACAGTATTTTTCCCCATCAAAAACAATGTTTAATCAACACACGAAATTCTTTTTTATCTATTGTTTTGAAAATTACAAAACTAGAGTCACTAAAACCACTGATACCTGTAAACTAATTGTCAGAATGTCATGAAATTTTGACACGTATCGTTTGAAGGTTGGTACTACCCAGAAATCATATGGGTCTGTCAACAGTTTTGCCATATATGTGTCAGATCAGAGACTTATTGAGTGATGTGTAAGCATAATCTAGAGGAGTAAGACTCCTCTAGATTATGCTTTCCTTCATTCCTTCTAATATTATCATAGTTGTCCAATTTCTTAACTAATTCAGTTGGAGATACAATATTTGCCCAGACATCCAAGAAATGTTCTTTATATTCTAAAGGGGCTCTTCTTTTGATTTTATCCATTATGATGACGTCCCTCAGCTGCTCAAAGGTTTCCATTTTTAAACCAGAAATCCATCCTTCAAAATAGTTCCATAATTTAAATTAAAAATCTTTCCATGTAGTATCTGATATTTTTTAGTGCTTGTAAAATAAATGTCTGAACTTATCAGGACTAAATTTAAACTTTTTCAGTAACAATGGCTTAACATAATTGTAGTCTTGTAATTTTTCTTTCATGTTCTATAGCAATTAGGTTTTCTATATCAGTAGGTAACACTCCCAAAAGTGTGTAAGCCAATATTTTTCTGCAACCTTCAAAATTTTCATTTGTCTCTCATACAAAACCAAAAAATAAAAAAAATTATATCTTCCTCAGAGTTAAATCTTGGGACTAATCCTTTAAATAGAGTTTAAACTGATTATCATCATCTGCTCGGTCAATGTCAGCCTTCTTAGACTTTAATTCTAGCTCTAGTTTTAAATTTTTTCAATTCATATTTTCTTCCATTTTCTATTTCTTCTGCTGCCCTTCTCTTGTTAATAACTGTTGAGAGCAATTCTCTTACAAATTCTTTATCATAATTTTTTGCTGTTCGGTATTATATTTCTTAAATGTATAATTTTATAATCCAGTTCTACAATTTCTCCCAGTTCTTCAGCTACTCTTTAAATCTTCCTTTCTACCTTTTGTCAAGAAAGCCATGCTTCATTTATTAGGCTTAATGACACTAAACTATATCGTTCAAATGTATCTTAATTACGATGATCAGCACTTAATAACTAAAATATTATGGATATCTTCAGACAGATCTTTGCATTGTACTCAACAAAGTACAGTGGAACCTCGGTATACGTCTGCTTTAGAATACGTCCAATTTGGAATACGTCCTGTTTGGACGAAACAAATTTTGCTCGGTATACGACTTTTGTTCGGTATACGACATAATTCAATTATACGCGTCATCAATGAACAAGTAGCACTATCGGTGTACTAGACCAGACTAGACGTTCGTGGTGCAACGGTTTATAACTTTGTTTAATTTCTTCTGATTTTAATTCGTAAGTAAAATTTTATTATATTTATTAATCACGAATCCCAAAAAGGCAAATGAAAAGTGACAGAAAACTAAAAAAATGACTAGAATTACAATGGAACTGATGAAAGAGATTGTTGAGAAATACGAAGGTGGCATGCGTGTTCGAGATTTTAACTGTTGTTTACTGTATTCCGAGAATGACGATGTGGACAATCGCGAAAAATAAAGGCATTATTAAATCTGCTAACGTTGCGAAAGGGGTTAAATCAATTTCTAAACAGAGATCGAAGACATCAGATCATGTCGAGAAATTGCTTTTGCTTTGGATAACTGAAAAACAGTGCTGGAGACAGCGTATTGGAAGCAATTATTTGTGAGAAAGCTAAAATGATACACGCTGATCTCACGAAAAATCAAGCAGGAATTAGCCAGGAAAGCGAGGTGTTTAAAGCCAGCCATTTTTTTACACGAGAACGGATTAATCATTTTTACGTTACTTCTTATGGGAAAGGTTGGTTTGGTATACGTCCAATTCAGTATAAGTCCAAACATCGGGAACGGATTAAGGTCGTATACCGAGGTTCCACTGTACTAGAAGAGCAGAGATCGAAACAAAACAGCTCACCACCATGTTGCTTCATTTTTTCTTGTTCTTCTTTCTTTCTTTCTTTTTTTTTTTTTTTAACAACAATTCGGATTATGAGCTGGGCGTCAATTTATAACACCACTTTATTGACATTATTACACTTTGTCTGAAACTTACTTAAAAATTGTTTTGAATATGTGTATGTTACCAATCTCTCTCCCTAGCCTAGAGATTTAGTAATGCAACAATCCACTTTGACTACCGCACCCACCACAGAAAAAATCCTGAGAGTAAGGATTTTTTTGTTTTTAAAATGTCTAAATATAAATTAATAACTAGTCCTTTGGATATCAAGCAAAAAGGAATTGAAGATTCCGATGCCTTTTTATATTCTCAATTAACTGATATATAAAAAATTAAAATAATTAATCTGTAAACAAACTGCTTCTTATCTGATATCAGTTATGAAATATTACCAAATCTACAAGAAAGGTTTTTGAATATGAAGAACACGACTTAACCTGAATAAAACAGAAAATTAAGGTTCTACTTGTAGGCAAAAAGTAAAATTACCTCCAGGTATAACAGTCACTGCAGAGATGACAAACTATTTCGAGAACAATTCTGAACTTTTTCAGAAAAGCAAAGGTCATGTGATAAACGGATAAAAGCACACAAAGCCTCTGTCAATACTGTTCTTTGTTGAACTTAACCAGGGTCAGAATTGAATGCGTTCCCAAGAACAGAAACTCTTGAGAAAAAACAACCAATATAATTATTTAAAAACAATGAGAACAATTTAAGATTCTGTAAACTAGATTGGGTTTATTCAGTCAGTGATTACAGTACTAATTTTTAAAAGCTGCTTTTTGATTACTTGTATATTATACAAGGTCTGTTCAAAAAGTATCGGACCTTTGGTCGGCAAAAATAAATTTAAAATAATAAATTGCAAGTTACCCGAAGAAAATAAACCATAATATGCTTTATTATATGAATAAATTAAATAATCTTGACAATAAAACAATACATAGATAAATATATGCTGTAAATTAAAATAAAATATTTATTAAATGATTGTAATAGACGTTTACAGAACGTCTCCAGATCGAGACTGTTGTAGACTGATATACAGAAGATGCCACAGCCAAAATTACAAAATAAAATGAAATAATTTAACCGACACTTCCAAATAATTTCAAAACGAGAGATACTAAACGTTTATCTAAAAATACATAACAGATAATTAGAAATAATATTTATTATGCTAATTAGAAAAAGTTATACATTTTATAATTCTTAAAATAAAAAAAACCTTTTTGAAAAATAGTTATTGTTCTTAAAAATTTAACACAAATGGTTTCATTACTCAATATTATCCTAATTCTCTAGTATATATACAATTACAGGTTAACCATTGAATTTCCGGCATGCTCGGTTTCAAAGATTTTCCAGAGGTCGCATAACAGTAAACTCTAGAGTGCTAATTACATGCTTCAAATGTTTTTAGTACTCTCGACTGTTAGAATTTAAGTATATATTAAATATGGACTAGTGTTTACGTTTGATACCATGGATACTTTTTGAAGCCACAGCTAGAATTAAATACAAGCAAAACAAGCTAAAAATAATCACATAGAACAAAGTGATTGCAATCAATTGCAAAGTAGACAATGTGAGTAAATGCATCGTGTCAATGAACTGGTTTGACAGTTGTAGGAATTTTAAGTGTCCTTTCACGATTCTGTCCTGATCGAAAGAGGTATCGGATCATCAGATGCTGGAAAATCAATGAAGAACCTGTAATTTCATAATCAATAAATAGATTACTTACTTAATTTTCAAAGTTTTCATCAATCATTCCATTCTTTATTTCTTTAAATATTAAACATTCCTCCTCTTGGTCCATAAATTTGATTAAAATTTTCCATCCATTCAACTGTGTATGTTCATTATACTTATCTGTAAATGTCTGCATATGGTAATTTTTCACTTTGTAATACTTTATCCTGTGATGAAATGTCTTCCAGCAACATTTAGTAATGTACATTAATTGCTACAACATAAAATTATGTTCAGTTAAGAAACTCAATTCTGTGTCATAAATGTAATCATCCATTCTTCAGTTGTTTTCCAGAAACAACATATTTTAAATGTATTTTTCTAATTAAAATAAGTAAATTAAAAAATCTGGACTGATTTTCATTCAGAATTATCATTTGTGTATTTAAAAATGCTCTAAAAATACAAACAAGTATTAAAATTTCAATCTTTTTAGTGAGTAAAAGAACATTTCATAAAATCTAAAATTTTCAACTATCAATTATGTTTTTGATTGTTTGTCCACCTTGTCAATACAACAAATCATATTATCACAAAATAATCAATATATATTTTTTGTAATTGAATTGATGGAATAAGGTGATCGAAGATTTGGGCAATCTGTCAAAAGTGGCGTGTCTCATAAGACTTTACCAGAAACTGACCCCTATGTAGGTGTCAGATATGTGAAGAAAACCAGGAAAACTCCATTTGGCCAATGAGTTGCAAGCTGTAAATCCATGACCAATTTCCATTGTTCAATGGTTCTAATCACTCGGCCATGGTGGACCATTATAATAAATAAGTTCTACCATACAATCACTTTGGAGATTTATCTATATAAAAATTAGTAGTACGAGTAAATAAGACTACAGTTAGTGGAAATTCTGAATTACTGACCTTGATATTAAAGAACATTTAGTTGTTTTGATATGAAAAACAATGAAAAAAAAANTAATATTTTAAAAGTCTTTCTTATAACATAATCTAGTTTTTAGTACTTCTTTTATTGTTCTTATTTAAGTATTAACTGCATGAAATAATTTCATATATCATTTTTTACACTTAAAATGATCATTAGGGAGGCAAACTGGTTGTTAAATTATTTGAATCCCACCACTGCATATATCCAAATAAAATTCACTCTAATAATTTCTTAATTTAAGTATTTCCTTTTATATATTTGAATTTGATCATATTATTTCTGTTTAAACATTAATAATTTATATAAACATCGCTAAACCCGATGTAATATAATTAATTACGTAATTTATTTAGTAATTAGCCTTAAAACTAGCCCGATGGATTTACGGCATATGTTTGGTGATTAATAATTTATTTTACAATTAAATAATTTGTTTAAAATGTTACTTTTTTTAATGAGAAACAATTGTGATATTACAGAATCAATTTATTTACAAACAAAGAATTGTTGTTTTAAGAGCCAAAAATATTAACAACTTTTTAAATAAAAACAATATTAATAGCAATACAATCGATTTTTAGAAAATATATTGTCTTTAGCTGAGTATGTACTCAAAGAACAAATTTAAACCAATCTATAGCCTACATTAACATTATGCAAGCACAACTAAAAATGTAGTACAGTAGCTCATTATATCACACTTGTTGGGAGGCAAAGAAAAAGTGTGAAATAACAGAGTACTAAAAATTCTGGGCTTATACTAAACAGATTAAACATGTTATGGAATCTCTAGCCTCTATTCTTTCATCAGCAAGTGTTTCTGATATAAAATAAGCTTAGTTTTTCAATACTAAATTTTATTTATGGTTATATTGTATTAATTGACGTTTATGTAAACATTAATACCACAAACGCCCATTTAGCATTATCGTTTCTTTAACAATGACATTTAAGGACAAATACTGTCAATATAAAAACAAAATGTCAGTTGCAATCTTATTACACAGTACTATATTTCGTAATAAATCACTTATTAAAATTTCATGTAATTGATAATAAAAAAAATATTGAACATCAAAACTTACAAAATTATAAAGAGTAAAAATTCTCTAAAAAGCAAAATAAAAATTTCTACTGTATAAAAATTTTAGAACTTTCTGTTCAGAAATAAAGAAATCTTTTCCTTACACATTACTCTGTCAATTTGAAATTTCACACCTTTATGTGAATTGTGGTTATTGTTGCAATTCACNTAAACAAAATGGAATTAAGTCATTTCTCTAGATGTAACAACAAAATTGAAACGGATGTTGAAATCCTAGGTGCAAAAACAAAAGTACTCATCGACACTGGGTCGGACGTAACGATGATACCAAGGCATTTTTATGAAAAAGTAGGGACTCCGAAATTAAATTCAGATAATGCATCTTTAATTGGATTAGATGGAAATAATATTTCTCAGTTAGGTTTCTTCGAAAGTGAAATAAAGATTGACGAATACTCTCTTCCCGCAAATATTTACGTGGTAGAAGATGATCTATGTAATTCTATAATAATAGGAATAGATGTTCTGAATAAACTGAACTTCTCTATAACAAACTACGGATTCAAAGTCATGGAGAAATAAAGTCAAAATAATATTCGTGTTAATTATACGCGAATTTTTGTTCCCGATGGAAAGTCTGTGGCTGAATCAACACTCGTTAGATCAGATGACGCCTCTGGAAAAGGGCAGACGTCCCTTTCTCATTCCACTGAGCGGGGAGAGAGAAACGGTTTTCAAAACACTAAATCACTTGATGAGCGCCCACCCCTTGTGGCTAGTGACACAAACGATTTCGGCACAAATAAAAAAGAAAAGTTGACTTCCAAATCTGATACATTTTCGTGTAAGCCTTGCAATGATAGCAAAAAAAAAAAAAAAAAAAAAAATGCAATATATCCAAACTTGCAATGTAATAAGGGGGCTACTGTTTTTGAATTTTTATATTTATAATAAATGCGAAAAATAAGAACTTTCTATTGTATTTCACACACAAATATTTCAGTTAGTTTTAAAAACCATAATTAAATATTCATGTAAACATCTATTATTTATTTATATATAAACAATCAACTAGCCTAATTTATTAAAACTAAATCAATAATCAGGCAATTAAGTTAGATATTTTATTTTATATTTATTTAATGAAATATTAAATTTTTAAAGTAATCAAATTTATATACCTCTTCTCCTTTTGTTGCCTTCAATTTGTAATTATCCCATTCTTTTTTTAAACGAACTCTTGCTCGTTTAACTACTTGCTGTAATTTAGATTCCCAAGGTTCCAGTTCTTCAAGAAGGTTGCATAATGTTTTATATAAATGAATTTCACGTTGTGGTCGTTCATTTTTTCCCTTTAAAATTAAAATATAGAAATTTTAGTATTATTTCAATTACACAAATAAATTTTGTCAACATTTAAAAGAAATTGTAAAAAGTCAAAATTTTAATATATAAAAAAAAATAAAAAATAAAAAAATATGATAAAACTTTAAAGTTTGTGATTATTATTATTTCAAATTAACTCACTTTTCTACATGAATACCTTGCATGTTAGCAAAAATAGTCAAACTACATAACTTAAAAAAACTTGTATGACTTTTGCAGCACTTTAAAACAAGAAAAGAAAAAAAAGAAGCCTTTTTTGGGGTAAGACAAGTGTTTTAGAAGATAATGTGTTTTTAATAAGATAAAAATGCATATGGGTAAACCTTTTATTAAATCTGATACCATTCAAGATATGACAGCTTATCACTATTTCACCCCTCTCTTGACTCTCAATATCCAATATGAAATAGCATCAGTCAATATGTCCTATATAGAGAAGTATTCTCACCAAATCTCTCTCTCATACTCATACAAGATATATATATCTTTTTTTCTCTGTGTATGTGTATGAGAGAGAGCTAACAAAAAACATTCTTGATAGATTACCTCTAGCTAAAAAAAAAACATTCTTACTTTATATATATATATATATATATAAAGCAAGAATGTTTTTTGTTAACTAGAGGTAATCTCAGAATCTATTGAACCAATTTTTAAAATTCTTTTGCTATTGGAAAGCTTATTCCTTCTGAATGAACACAGGTTAATAACTATTTTCATATTAAAAAAGAAAAATGAATCAGAATGTTTTTACTGTGGCATTTGTCAGCTCTGTTCAAAGTCAATCCCCTTCACTACCTGGTAGGCTTTTTTACACTTATTATGTTATTTATTCAAACTCTGACCCTCACTCCTTCCCAATTTCATCCCTACAAATTACCAAACTCTTTGATTGATTTATACCAAACTTTCCATAGTTACTTTCTGCCATCCTAAGGGAAACATATGTTACTCTGTAACAAGCACAACTTGACTCCCTCCCTGAGTTCCTAGGCAATGCTGGGCATTCTTTGCTAGTATTATATATAGAGACATAGACAAAATTTTTTCCTTTTTTGACATTTTTGAAATCAGGGAAGAACCTTAATACATCAAGAAATAAAAAACTGGTAGAGTCAAAATTTGGCCAATTACAATTACAATAGCCAAGAAAGTAATGTGAATAAAACTGTTGGTATATTTTGTCTTGAAAATGATTTATATATATATGTATATAAACACATATTAAATTCTATATAAATAATAAAGATAATTAAACCAAGTAAAAAACATAAACTACAATTTCTCCATTTTAAATATAAATATTTCCATTGTTATAAGCAACGTTCCCTTTAATTTTTTTTACAACTACATGAAACAAATATTGCACTGAGCAAGGAATATTCATGGACATGAAAACTATGTAATATTTTAATGCTTTCACCATTAAATTTAACAGTTGTTTTGCACATGGTCGGTAAAATAATCTCAAATTTTTTAAAGAAAGTATTCATAATTTTGAAAGACTAGTTAAAAATTTTAAAAATTGATGCAAAAGTTTTAACATATCAGAATAAAACAGATAAAGTATAAACTAAACTACCTGAATTTTGGATTTGTAACCTATAGTTTCTGAATAAATAATTTATATCTTTTTTTTTATTTTTTTTTTATATTATAATTTTTGAAAGTGAACAAACTCAGTTTTTCATTTATTTTGAAATAAGGTATTTAAAATTTACAAAACATGACAATTAAAACCAAAGTTTAACCTAAATTAACAAACTTCTTCAACTTATTATACAGGATGCCCCATACAAAATTGGTCCTGCTCATCAATTAAGTAAATTACTGTAATCTTCTTATTGGAAAAAAATGAATGAGACAAAATAAAATTACAATATATTTTCTACAAAACAATGACTAGTTGCTATCACACACCTCTTACCAATATCTACATTATGATCAGTAGTAGTTTTTAAACCAGTTTTAAGATTTCTGTCAAATGGGTTTTACATAACACTCAATTTTATGTGATGGTGTAAAATAATGCCCCTTCAGATGTTCTTTTAATACTACTGAACAATAAATACCTCTTAAAGAAAATACTACTGAAGCCAGATTGTACGGAAACTGTGAGATCACAGAAATCCCTTTTTAGCCAGGTATTCTTGGATGTCAAATGCTCAATGCGTAACACACAATGTATCTAGAAATTACCAAAGAGGACTATATATGAACCAATGTGAAACAGCTGCAGTGTGACTGTCTATAGTTTGCTGATGTCTCATCTAATTTTGTTCTGAATCCTAGCAATTACTTCTGTATTTCTTACTATTGCTACTATAGTATACATATTGGTCATCTTCCACGTATGCTCTATCTTTGAATCTCTTGCACTTGCATTTTCAGTCTAAAAATATTTGTTATAAAATATAAAAGTTCTGCTACAAAATATCTCAAGCTTACAGCAATAATTATTAATTTAGATAAGAGATGGCACCTAATGTCTACCTCTAGTACCAAATTACTTAGTTTCTAATTATTAATTATAGCATAATAATAGCACGATTAATTATGGTGGGAGTTTGGATTATTTACAGTAAATTTGATATTAATCTGCTGTTCCATTCTCAATGCTTCAAATTTTAGAAGTAACATCTAATTATCATTTTTATTGTAGCTATATTCTCATATATCTACTTAATGCAGCATGTCAAAGCATATTATAAGCTGCTGTAATATGCTTTGACATGCTGCATTAAGTAGATATTTTATTAACTGTAGTATGTGGAATGAACAAACAGCTATGTTGCCAAATGCTGGTGTGAGAGTAGCCTGGGGTACAGGGTAAGTCTATTACACCTGTATCACTTACTAGGCACAGATTAACCGAAATCTGTCTCCAAAGTTTCGGATCGCGAGATCCGATCTTAAAAGTTCTTATAGGAGGGCTTTTATGTTTAAGGATGATCTAGGCTGTGTAGTTAGATCTACGTCAGGATTCCTTGACACCAGTTTGCCAATTTATCGATCCGCGGACAAACACGCATATGAGATCTGATTCGGAATCAAGTTAAGAGACATTTTAATTAAAAACGAAATAATAAATTTAATAAAACAATAAAATAAACTCATAAAAAATGTGGACGATCGAGAGACAGAACTACTACAAATAATATACAAATTGAATGATATCTATGCTTATCTTATACCCAATTCGCGATCGAGAGAGAGAGAGCTCACAATATCGTTATAAAACATACAACCTGTTCTAGTTGTCGTTCGTCTTCTTCTCTGTAGGCAAGGGACACTTCGGAATTAAAGTTCATTTACTTCTTTGTATGGGAGTTCAATATGTGTACAAAATCAAAGTATATTTTCTAAGTGCAGACTCTGGACTTATTCTAAGTGACTCGACTAAGGGCATTGGTCATAAGGAGGAAAAACGTATGGAGTTTCGACGCTTCCAGATCTGTCGCTGAACTCCCCGAATTCGGACTAATTCCCTGTATATGTCACGATCAGTGACCAATCATCATGCAAAGTTCCCTCTGTGAGAACGGATGGAAAGGGGGATATGTGAGGGGTAAGCATTTCCCATCAAAGCGAGAGTTTTCGCAGACAAGGGAAAACAGAGGATGTTCTAACTTCTGTGAAAGGAAGTAATATCTGTTAGCTATTTTCCCCCCTCTAAAACGTCATTTTTCTCACCCAAACGAAGTAATATTTGGTGACAAAATTTTAACATTATTAATAAAATTATTGATTTAGACCCAGGGGCCTTTCGGGTCTCACACTGTTGATTTCCCATTTATTTTTGACTCTACCTTATATATGTCTATGTCATTTAACAAATTTCATTAATAATGATACTGAAATCATTTATTAATTGGAAATTAATTCATTCACTCCAAATATAAACAATTAAGTAAATTATGTCTAAATAAAAATTCATATTACAAACTTATAAAATTTTGTTTCTTAAAAAATTAAACTGAATTTTATAAGAACCTACTTTTTTATTTTTAGCATCTTCAACTTCAGAAAATTCTGCAATAAGATTTCTCAAAGATTCAACTCCATCTACTATTAATTCAAATTTTTCTATATCAGGATAAATTTCTTTCTTCTTATTTCTTTTTGATATTTTGGCATTTTCAGTTGATAATTTCTTATTTTCCTTATTATAAGTAAAAATTATTTATTAATAAAAATAATCTTAGATTAAATAATTATTAATATATAAATTAAAACAGTTCTAGCCTCTTTCAGCAGAAATATATTATTTATCAAATGTTTTAACAGCTGACTTGGGAGCAATCATCAGGCAGCCAACAGCCACATTTGATAAATGAAATATTTCTGTTGGAAGAGGTTAGAACTGTTTTAATTTATACAATACACAAATTTATTACTATTAATGTACTAGTAAAGTAAGTCACATTGAGAAACTCAAAACAATGTTTATTCATTGAGCAGTAATATGTCACAAATGAAAGATCATAAAGTGATTTATTGTCGAGAAAAGAAAAAATATGATAATAAAGAAATTAAATTAAACTAAATGAAAGTAAAGTAAACTAAACTAAAGTTAAAACCATCCATGTTTGAGATTTTGTCCAGTCTGGACTGAGGGAACTGTGTCTCAAACATAACGTCTGCAAGTCGCTTGACACGGCTAAAAAACATATACTGTATTTGAAACAGTTATATAAAATTTACATTTTCATGACAACTCAGGATATCTTCTATATTGAAGTTAAGACCATTTAGAAAAATATACATTTTCAAGTCTTTTCTTTATCTATTAACACAACCACAGAAGTAACAGTTAAAGTGGCTTGAAGAAAAACTTTATTAAAAAAGACAAATAATAATAGATAAAAATTCACAAGTTAAAAACGAGATCAAACATCAACCTTGTATTGGAGCCTTTCCTCCAATAAAAGGCTGACGTTTGATATTGTTTTTGTGAATTTTTATCTATTATTATTTGTCTTTTTTAATAAAGTTTTTCTTCAAGCCACTTTAACTGTTACTTCTGTGGTAATGGATAAAGAAAAGACTCGAAAATGTATATTTTTCTAAACAATCTTAACTTCAATATAGTTACATAAAAGTTGAAAACAGAGAATAAATAAAAACTGAAAATTTCCGATGGGATGAGAGGACTGAGTTGAGTGTAACTGCTGACATGTCGACGAAAGGAAATGACAATTCATTTAAATCGGTACTGGTCCAGGAATGCAGTTACAGCAGAGGCAATCAAAGAGGTAGGTAACATGGTGCCATCTAGTGTGGATACGAGACGTAAATCCGGTTCCTTTTTCTTAGAACTCGGATAACTTTTCCATAGTTCAACCAAAATTCCCAAAACTCCGCAAAAATATAAAGTAACTGTCTGGCTTTATATTCCAAAAAACAGCACCCAAAAATTTCAAAGATTAAGCACTTTTGTCATTAAGTGTCAAAGATTAAGCATTTTTTAATTATATCTTATCTGAGAGTTAATTATATTTTCCAAAAAGAACTTATACACATGCCAGGGCTCTACTGGGCATTTTGACACTAAAATCATCAAAATCTAACATGGGAATTTTTTAAAACTCGGACACAAAATCGCAAAAGTCATCCCAAAAGCATGCGCTTTCTTACTGCTCGCCCAGGCAAATATATAAGAGAATTCATACTAAATTATTTTATTACTTGAATGGTTTTATGTCTATACAAAAAAGTTTTCTTCTTTAAAAGATAAAATATTTTATCTTTCAAATATTATAATTTACTCAAATTCAAAATAGTTTTTTCTTGCCTGGAGCTAATAAAATGTGTGAATGTGTGAATTTATTACCATNCAATACTCGTTAGATCAGATGACGCCTCTGGAAAAGGGCAGACGTCCCTTTCTCATTCCACTGAGCGGGGAGAGAGAAACGGTTTTCAAAACACTAAATCACTTGATGAGCGCCCACCCCTTGTGGCTAGTGACACAAACGATTTCGGCACAAATAAAAAAGAAAAGTTGACTTCCAAATCTGATACATTTTCGTGTAAGCCTTGCAATGATAGCAAAAAAAAAAAAAAAAAAAAAAATGCAATATATCCAAACTTGCAATGTAATAAGGGGGCTACTGTTTTTGAATTTTTATATTTATAATAAATGCGAAAAATAAGAACTTTCTATTGTATTTCACACACAAATATTTCAGTTAGTTTTAAAAACCATAATTAAATATTCATGTAAACATCTATTATTTATTTATATATAAACAATCAACTAGCCTAATTTATTAAAACTAAATCAATAATCAGGCAATTAAGTTAGATATTTTATTTTATATTTATTTAATGAAATATTAAATTTTTAAAGTAATCAAATTTATATACCTCTTCTCCTTTTGTTGCCTTCAATTTGTAATTATCCCATTCTTTTTTTAAACGAACTCTTGCTCGTTTAACTACTTGCTGTAATTTAGATTCCCAAGGTTCCAGTTCTTCAAGAAGGTTGCATAATGTTTTATATAAATGAATTTCACGTTGTGGTCGTTCATTTTTTCCCTTTAAAATTAAAATATAGAAATTTTAGTATTATTTCAATTACACAAATAAATTTTGTCAACATTTAAAAGAAATTGTAAAAAGTCAAAATTTTAATATATAAAAAAAAATAAAAAATAAAAAAATATGATAAAACTTTAAAGTTTGTGATTATTATTATTTCAAATTAACTCACTTTTCTACATGAATACCTTGCATGTTAGCAAAAATAGTCAAACTACATAACTTAAAAAAACTTGTATGACTTTTGCAGCACTTTAAAACAAGAAAAGAAAAAAAAGAAGCCTTTTTTGGGGTAAGACAAGTGTTTTAGAAGATAATGTGTTTTTAATAAGATAAAAATGCATATGGGTAAACCTTTTATTAAATCTGATACCATTCAAGATATGACAGCTTATCACTATTTCACCCCTCTCTTGACTCTCAATATCCAATATGAAATAGCATCAGTCAATATGTCCTATATAGAGAAGTATTCTCACCAAATCTCTCTCTCATACTCATACAAGATATATATATCTTTTTTTCTCTGTGTATGTGTATGAGAGAGAGCTAACAAAAAACATTCTTGATAGATTACCTCTAGCTAAAAAAAAAACATTCTTACTTTATATATATATATATATATATATAGTAATGGTTTAGTGATGCCAACAAATGTCTGAAAGTGACAGATAACTAATGCATTGTCATATTTGTGAGAATTTACTAAATCTACGATCTATATATTTGACAAAACTAAGGATTTTTCAAATACAAACTATGCTATCATTTTAAACAGTTTGTTACAAAAACTAGCATTTTTTTTTTTAATGAGAAGCTTTAAATGAAAGTAGAGTAATTATTAAAATGATTTATCAGATATCTCAAACTATAACAATAATATAAAGGTTTCTATCAAAAGCAAATCAATCATGAAAAACTAAGAAGGCACAATTTAGTTGACAGAAAATGTCTAGCCTGCAATTGAATTAATAATACCAACTTTTAAAACAACATTAAATTACTTTCTTGTTAATATAACACTATATGAATAACTTAGCAAAAATTAAGTAAAAATCCATAATACTTTAGAATAAAATTTTTACTATAATATCATTTAAATGAACACATTTTAAAACAAAATGCTAAATATCAATAATTTCTTCCACTACAATAAATGATTTGGGTATAATGAATAAACTTTTGAATTTATCATCATATCTATAATGCATTATTAAAATACTTTTTATTTATTTGTTGCAGAAGAATATGATAATTTTTTCTATCTAAATATATATTTTTTAACTTACTACAGAAATAAATATTCTTACTATACTCTCTTCATGGTTAAAATTTTATTAATTTTCATTTTATAAATGCAAATTAAAAGTTTATCATAATTTAATAATAGAAGTAACTTTTCTAAATTTGCAACAGTCAGCTTATATGATGAGTAGGAAAATTATAACAAATTAGTCATAAAAATATTCAAAATTAAATCTTCAGTATCTTTGACAAACAGCTGAATCTTAATTCAAATAGTAAAAAAAATACAAAAAAAAAAAAAAAAAATTTTAAATTATCAAAAATTCAAATTATTCCTTTTAAAAATTAAACTGCTATTTGGCAGTATTCCATATTCTTCAACAATATCATATTTTCTCTTTATATTCTTATCAACTTTTTTACTTCTATGCTTACACATTATAAAAACATAACTAAACAACTTTGCTATCATAAATGCAAATGTTAATAAAACTATGAAATGTGGTGATTTTTGTCTACGACCCCAGAAATTTACAGAATATGTGCATTACGTAGAATTCTGGAAATGCATACATTCTATAAATAAATTAATTACACATCACTTTTTCTTTGCAAATTTCTTTTTCAAAATATTTTAAAAAATTAGCTTCAAATTACCCGCTTTATATTTAAAAATTGAATATCAATTTATATTTTCAGTATATAAAAATGCAAACATTTAATTTGCCAAGATCATCTTCAGTATTTTTGTAAAAATTTAAAATAATTTTTAAGAAAGAAAACTCACTATAGTATTTTCAGATTTTGTTTTAACAGATATTTTAATTTTTTTTTTCCACAAAGAAATTCATAAATAATTTAACTTTTACTAGTTTAGGTTTAGTAAATGATTGTTAAAATTGATAAAACAAAAAAAGCATCAATTTTAAAAATATAAAAAAAAAAATAAATAAATGTTATAGTATTTCCAATTTATCATTTACAAAATTATAACAACTAAAGTTTTTGAAAATATATTAAATTATAGATGTACAGTACATACATAAAAATCAACAGTATATATATATATATATATTAAGTATACACTATTGTTCTTTATACGTAAATTGAATGAAATTAATTTTTTACTTTGACATGAAATAGTGAGAAAAACATTCAATATAAACGAGTAATTGTTTGTAACATCATAACAATGCCAGGCTGCAATTTTTAATAATTTTTCAATTTAAAATATGTGCTTTCCAGCTCAAATTAGTAGTGTCTTGCCCCTATACATCATACTTTTCTGTTAGCAATAGACTCATGCCAACTATTCTATTAACTGTTTTCAGAGAAAAATTTTTGAATTGAAATAATGTGACTTCCAGTTTGCACCAGAAGCTTGTATATAGTTAATCGGGACCTCCTTCCCCAATCTTTCCATACTGGTCTCAGCTTTCATCTATCTAACTCCATTCTTAAGAGTAAGGAAAGAGACAGACAGACAAATTACAGTGACAATTTATTGGTCTCCAATTTTTTGAAATTGCAGGCCAATAAATGATTTTGTTCTAAGGATCAAAGTTTAATGTGTAAACAATGAAGATATATAATAACAACTCAAAGCCCGAGAAATATAGAATGAATCACCAAATGATCGCCTTAATATCGGGCTATAATATGGCTAATTAAATGATTAGTATAAAGTAATTTGACAATAGAGGTAGACGTTAGGCGCCATCTCTTAAGTAAATTAATAATTATACTGGTGGCGTAACTGGCAAGCGCACCGCACGGCAAGCGGAGGTTGCGGGTTCAAGCCCCGTCCTGGGCCAGTTCTTTTATTCCAGAAGGTTCTAAATTTATTTAATAATTTTTTATTTATAATTATTAATTTACTTAAGAGATGGCACCTAACGTTTACCTCTATTGTCAAATTACTTTATACTAATCATTTAATTAACCATATTATAGCTCAATATTAAGGCGATCGTTTGGTGATTTATTCAATGAAAATATAATTAATACTGATATATTTTTAAAATATATATAAGTAAGTGGAAAATAAAAAAAAAGAAAATCTGAAGACTGTAAAAAATGATATGAAAGAGATTAAAAAAATAAAAAAATCTGAAATTTATTTTAAAATTAAGTAATCAATACATACCAAACAATGATCACATAATGCTTTAACAAGCCACACTCTTTGATGATAAGTCAATTCATGAAAATCTTTTTTCAGAAATGGATTTGTATCACCTATTAAGTAATTAGCAAAATTAATTAAGATTTTTAATTACATAAAATTAATATTTATTTTACTACAAACCTAAAATGTTAAAAAAATCTGGTTCAATTCCAACAATATCAAATACCTAACAAAAAATAAAAAGCATTTATTTAATCATTTTATATTTTAAAAAGATAATTATGAATTTTCTAGAAAATACAAATATATTAAATATATGTTACCTTCCTGGTATTTTTATGTTTAGCATTATATAATTTATACCAATTCTCAACTCGAAGTTTTAACCGTTCATGCCAAATACGATAGGGCATTGGAGGTTTTCGATGTAATCTAGATTATATAAAGTAAATGAAAAAATTATAATGTAATTCAATTAAATAAAGATGTGAATAATTATAAAAAATTCTATTCTTAATAAATAAGCTATTATGCATACTTAACTTCTAAATATTTTTAAAATACAAATATATTACTGTGAACCAGGGCTGTGGAGTCATTTAAAAATCTACCAACTCTGACCAGGAACAGACTTGTTACCAAATAGGTCCAGGAATTCTGATGTCATCATTTGACCTCAGAATAAAAGCTTCAATAAATAGAGTTCTAATAAAGACAAAACACTGAAAATTTTTTACTTCAAAGCTAAAAGACTCCTTTAAGTAATGACATAGTCAATATATAAATATGTAATCAATAATTTTTACTTTTCCTGGCTGTTATATAAAACAGAGAGAAAGTATAGCAATCAATCAAAAATGATCCACCCCAAATTTTTACATTTTTGGACTAAGGACACCTTGAAATATCCAGAGATGCAAAAAATTTGGGGTTTTTGTTTCTGTACGTATTGATACTAAAATGTGGGGGGGCACGATTTTGTTCACTCTGTTTGAAGATTAATAACTTCTGTGGTTTTTGAATTGGAGTCAGATGGTTTAACACAGGAGTTATTAAGCTTCAAAGTGGTTGAATTTGAACTAAATTGTGACCCCCACACACATTCTAACATCCATGCATATAGAAAAAACACCAAATGTTTTTGAACTTGCGTCATTTCAAGGCAAATTTCATTCCTGAGTCCAAAAGAGTAAACATCTGGAGAAGTCATCTTTTTTTTTGTTATAAGCCTATACTGTTTAACAGCCAGGAAAGTAATATATACATAACAAGTTGGGAAAGTAAAAAGGAGTTGGAGTTGGCAAATTTTTGATGACTCCGACTCTAACTAAAACACCAAAACTCCACGATTCCAACTCCACAGCCCTAGTAAGAACTAATGTTTTCAGAATGATGGCAATTTTTATGAATACAAAAACTTAAACTTTTAATATGATGACACACATACACACACAGTATAACTCTTACTGTAATCATAAATAGTTATTATTCTTTGTGTTTGTTTTCAGCTCTGAAGAATATCCATAGTTTTTAATAGTTTACACAAAATTAAACAATGGTTTCTTGTGGGAATTCAGAAATGTAACAATGTTAATTTTGAAACAATTTATTCACTTGGATTCATATATTCAAAACATTGATTAGGTAATTTGTTACCTAAGCACAAGTAACTTGAGATTTTTTTCTTTTTCTTTCTAGACACCATACCCTAAACCAAACTTCCTTGAAATTACCAAACAATTCAAATTTCAGCCTGTCTGTCTTTTCAAAGTTTTTCCTCACTCTACAAAAACTCTCTATTCTGGGATTGCCCAACTCTACAATTATGAACCAAAAACAAACATGTATAATCAAATCCTTCTTATATCTGCTCTGTGTTAGGATCTTCTACTATATTCTAAATAAATTCTTTACTCCTCAAACTATGTCTCAAAACAATCCAAAGTTTATATTATGTCTCTTGCAGATCACTCTACTCAAAGTCCTACATGAGACTATATTCTAAAATCTACATTGTGCTTCATGCAGTTTGCTCCAAAATGTTATCCATCTATCCAGATAGATGGATAGCACAAAGTTATAATGGAAGCCTAGCTAAGCAAGTCACTTGGGTTAAAAATGCTCATGAGAAAAGTAATAGGTGCAGAAAATCACTACAACCACATGTGATCACAGGTCAATGTTATCATCTGTACAGGTGCATGCCTAAGTGATTACAATAAGCAGATTCTACTGTACATGTATAACGACATACATACTGTACATGTATACTGTACATGTATACTGTACATACTGTACATGTATACGACATACATACTGTACATGTATACGACATACATACTGTACATGTATACGACATACATACTGTACATGTATACGACATACATGTATACTGTACATGTATAATTTAGATTGCATAAAATATTTTATGCAATCTAAATTAATAAATTAGTTATAACATCAAATTTCATTATAAAAAAAAATTTTAAACTAAAACATGCATACTTTTATCTATAATGGTAAAAAATCTGAATTAAAAACCACAATTAAAAATTTCAATAAACTATTAAATCTTTGTAAAATTTGTAATTAAGACTAGCCAAACTGAAAAAAGTTATTTTATTTGAAACCATTTTTAATTCTTGAAAGTAATGAAGTAATTTTAAATTGTAAAATTCATTCATTTAAATACTTGTACAGTAACTAAATGCAATAATAGTAATAATAATAATAACTCTCCCGTGGTCACCACCTGGTCGTGGTGGGAGAGCCCAGTAGTTTTACAGATCCATAGGGCAATGCAGGCTGGAGCACAAACTCCTGGTAGGGACACTCATGCCAGTAAGGTCTATGAGGAGAAATGAAGCTAAGAGTGACCACACACCCACATTCTGTGGAGATAATCATTATGGTAGTAACCAGATCTAAGTATGATACCGGCTCAGATGTCGCCCGGGTTAACAAGGTCCGCGTTCGTGGGTTAGGCAGAGGCTCACGTTCGAAAAATAGGCTCCAGTCTCCCTTGGTTACCGGTGGCGAAAGCAGCGCCGGCCCAAGCATGGCTACTGCAATGCCCTCAACAGATGTGAGGAATCAACCTAGCCCTGGTGTTTCTGTGGCAATGCATCCACAGACCACAAAGGCTGGAAAACCACACCAACGGATGAAATGGACAACAGAAATGAACGAGTTTATCATCTGCACTTACTACACCATCACAAGACTCGAAACAAACATGACAGCATACAGACAACAACTACACCACATATTCACACAACAATATCCTCACCTCACTGTCACCGAACAAAGGGCTGTTGATCAAAAACGAACAATTATACACAACAACCTTATCCCACAAACAACACTTGAACTTATCAAACAACAGGTTGCTGATCAAATACATCAACAGACAGAAACATTTAACATTAATGAAGATCACGTAACCTGTCAGGATAATCCAGCAACAAGCATTGATAATAGTACACATACAACAACTACCATTAATGATACTACAGACACTTCCTCATCCATCACTGATAACATAGACATAGATTTAGTTAATACACTCTCACTTATATTTCAGGAAACACTCACTAAATATACAGGTACAGATCCCACACAAAGACCACGAATACCGAAAATCAACACGTCAAAGGTAGTAGGAAAAACACTAAATTATGTAAACACTCACTTACTACCAAACTACATTCATTCAATTTCTACACTCTCAGACATTCATACATTAGTTTATGCTGGGGCAGTCACAGTAGTAACACACCATGGACTGAAAATACACTCACAGACAGACACACACAAAACACAATTCTATCACAAGCCTGCCTGGCAGAGAAGAATAGAAACACAAATAAATGACATTAGACAGCAATTAGGCAGGCTGACACAATACACTAAAAACAACATAACACCCAAATTAAAGAAACAACTCAAAAACATTTTCAAGAAAATCAAAACACACACAAAACATGAACATCACAACACACACATTACAGAATACATCGATACACTAAAACAAAAACTCGCAGCCAAAGCACGTAGACTCAAACGATACAAAACATGTACACTACGAAAACAACAAAATAAATTATTCACAAACAATGAAAAACTTTTCTACAGACAAATCAGTACCAAAACAAACACTGATACACAGCACAGTGGCACACCAACAGAAGAAGAACTCACAACTTATTGGTCTTCTCTTTGGTCCAATGCTGTTACACACAATGCTGATGCAGGCTGGATCGAGGAGGAGAACAGAAACTTGCACAACATACCAACTATGCCCTGTGCTGAAATAAACATACACGACATTCGCTACGCTGTTAACAGAACACACAACTGGAAGACACCTGGTGTAGACAACATTCACAATTTCTGGTACAAAAAGTTTACATCACTGCACCAGGAACTAGCTAAACATCTAACACACATCATCATCAATCCACAAGACATGCCAAAATTTCTTACTCAGGGCATCACCTACATGAAACCTAAAAACAACAAAACCACAGACCCCACACAATACAGACCAATTACATGTCTTCCAACACTCTACAAATTATTGACATCCTGTATCACAAACAAAATATACAAACATGTTGAAGAACACGACATTCTTACAGAACAACAAAAAGGTTGCCGTAGAAATCACAGGGGATGCAAAGAACAGTTACTCATAGATTCAGTCATTCTACGGCAAGCACACAAACAACACAGAAACATACACATGGCATATATAGACTACAGAAAAGCATTCGACAGTGTTCCACACAGTTGGCTGCTACATATTCTACACATGTACAAAATACATCCATCACTCATTGCATTCTTCGAAAACACTATGCAGCACTGGAGAACAACACTACATCTCAGGGTTAGTAACACTTCCATACAAACAAACGAAATATTCATTAGGCGAGGAATTTTTCAAGGAGATTCCTTGAGTCCTCTCTGGTTCTGCCTAGCCCTGAATCCATTATCCAACATGTTAAACAACACGCAATACGGCTACAATATCAGACACGAAAAAACAACACAGTTTACACTCTCACATCTCATGTACATGGACGACATAAAACTTTATGCATCCACACAAAAACAACTTCATCAACTCCTACAAATCACACATTCATACACTAAGGACATACAAATGGAGTTTGGCCTAGACAAATGCAAAAAACTTCACATAGAAAAAGGAATCCTGAAGAAAGAAGATTTTGCACTTGGAAATGGAGACGTTATTGAATCCATGGAAGAGGGCGAGTTCTACAAGTACTTAGGATTCCAACAGGCCAAACTAACAGAACATACACAAATAAAGCAACGATTAATTAAAGAATACCAAAGTAGGTTAAACGCTATACTTAGAACACAGTTAAATGCAAAACACACAGTTAAAGCAATAAACACATATGTCATCCCAGTACTCACATACTCTTTTGGAGTTATACATTGGACTCACACAGATCTCGAGCAACTCCAAAGGAAAACAAGAACAACACTTACTAAGCATAAACAACATCATCCTAAATCCGCCACAGAAAGATTAACCCTTCCACGTAAAGAAGGCGGACGTGGCCTGATTGACATAGTTAACCTTCACTACAAACAAATACAGTCACTGCGAGAGTTTTTCTACAAGAAACAAGAAACATCACAGTTACATAAAGCAGTAACTCTAGCAGACTCAAATAACACACCATTAAACTTACACTCACATCATACAGACATGACACAACACATAAAAAGCATAGACACCATCAAGCAATCGTGGGCTCGAAAGGCACTCCATGGCAGGCATCCTTATGACCTGGCCCAGGATTTTGTTGACAAAACTGCGTCAAACAGCTGGTTAGATCGGGGATGCCTCTTTGGGGAGACGGAAGGATTCATGATTGCCATACAGGATCAGGTCATAAATACTAAAAACTACAGAAAACACATACTCAAAGATACAACACTCACAAATGACACATGCAGAAAATGTCACATCATGCCAGAAACTATACAACACATCACTTCTGGTTGCAAGCTCTTGGCACAGACAGATTACTTACATAGACACAATCAAGTAGCAAATATAATACACCAAGAGCTTGCAAAGAAACACAAATTGGCAGACATCCACGAACCATACTACAAGTATATTCCACAGACAGTATTGGAAAACAACACGCACAAAATGTACTACGACAGAGCCATAATCACAGATAAAACAATTTACCACAACAGACCAGACATCACACTCATTGACAAACACAATAAAATCACATACATTATAGACATAGCCATTCCAAACACTCACAATGTACAAAACACATGCACTGAAAAAATTAGCAAGTACACAGAACTTGCCCAGGAAATAAGGCATCTATGGAGGATGGATAGGGTAGTTATTGTACCTGTTGTTCTTTCCTGTACAGGTGTGATACCACACACACTACACAAAAGCCTGGGAACATTAGAATTGAGTAGAAATACATACATAACACTACAGAAGGCCACTATATTGAATACATGCCACATTGTTAGGAAATTCCTGAATGCAGACACTGACACACTTATTTAATTTTAGTTTTGTTTTGGTTGCTATGCCTTGACTCTGGTCCGGCATAGTACACAGCCACTGGTGTGAACCGAGTAAATCCCACTAAACCCAACATAATAATAATAATAATAATATAGAAGTTAAATAGATCTTTTAAAACAAAGAAAAAATGAAAATTAAATATATATCAATGCTAGCTTAGCAAATAAAGCTGCAAATTATACTTCAAATCTCTTTCAGATTGCCTAGATATAAATGAAAATATTGTGTTTTTGAAAAATAATTTAAATCAAACTCATTTATTTGTTATATATCAATGTATCAATTAATGAAAAAGACATTTTTATTTCTATATAAATTAAAGGTTTGGTTTGTTTGAGTTTCTTGGCACAAGGGTCATATAGACTATGCTGCACCTTGACAAATGGTGTATAAAGAATAAATGACAAATATATCTAATCATACTGTTCACAACAAAGCATAAATGACCATATTTGTTTATATACATTAATGACTTTCAGAAAGTCCAGCAGAATGTCAAGATTTGGCCTCTGGTGCAAAATTCTTGTCAAACTTGCATTTCTAAAATGACCTCTCAAATTCAGAGCATTCATACAGTATATGTTTGTAAAAATAAATTACTGTATAAATTAAAACTTTTCTAATTGTTTTCATCCCCTTTAATTATTAAATTAATAAGATGTAATCTTTTTCATTACTTACTTTGTGCGTTGATATGGTGAACTTAATAATGATGTAATTATTGTTGCTAAATATACACTCTCGCGAGGCATAAGAAATACTCGTTCAAGTGCATACATATGCAATTCTGGAATATTTAATGTTTTCTGTGCAAGAAACAGGAAATGTCCAATCTGTGGTAACTGTAAATTAAAAACAATTTTAAGATAATAAAATTAAATATAAAATTTACACTGTCAATACATTGTAAGAACTAGTAATTATTGATATTTTCTTTTATTTTCTATTTTCATGTATAATATCTAAACATCATTTCACATAAAAATAGAAATATTTTTAAAAAACAATAAATTACAATGCACCACACCTGGGAAATAGTTAACAATGTACATAGAACCAATAACCAATGTGAAATAATAAAAATAAAAAATTATTGCAAACATTTTCCAACTCTTGTTGGAAGGAATTGGAAAACATTTGTGATAGTTTTTGGTTTTTATTTTTATTATTTTACATCAGTTATTGGTTCTGTGTACTGTACATTGATAAAAAACAATATTTAAAGTCAACATTAAATATAGATATACATCAATAATATGATAATAAACTAAGGGTACGTTCGTAAAGTCGAACGAGTTAAACGAGAATGACGTCATCGTTATTCTTATTTAGTTAGACTTTTCGAACGATTCGTTTATAACTAAATGGCTGTTTCTAAAATCGAAGATATGAATGTTGTTAGTGCAGCCTTATCCGAAATATTTTTCTTAAATTTCTTCGGGTGGACAGTTATTTCAATCATTTCATCTTTTAATTCACAATTTAAACACTCGAGTAGATTTAGAAACATCGATTTCGTCGGCCGCCATTTTCTTAACGAAGTGAACTAACTCTTTCCTTCGTGAACTTCGTTAGAGTTTCGTTCGAAACGTCATCACCGCAGAGCATGCGCACTGAGCGAGACTACTACTTTTCGAACGATTCATTACTAACGCGTTTAACTCGTTCGACTTAACGAACGTACCCTAAAAATACAATAAAAATTATATTTTCAATTACATCAACAGATTTCATTTATTTTGATCTACGGTACAGAAAATTTTATGTATTAATATTTAAATATGTCTAAAGCTCCGATTCCAGAACATACAACTTTTATTTGTTTCTAATCTAAAATAATTTCTAATTAGTGAATTTTTATTTGTATATATTGCACTGAATCTATAATACTAAACAAAAATCATCATAGTGTAAAAATTTATTATGTGCAATAATAAATAAAATATATCATGAAATTAATTGATGAATTAAGATAACCTAACTATTTGTTCTTTTAAAAAATGTCCTACTTGGAGTGTTATACTAAATACACTAAGTCTAGAAAAAATTAAAAGACATTTCTTAAAAAATAAATATTTTAATTATCTCATGGTTAGCAGCTAATTGCATGATATTTGAATTTAATGTCAACTTTTACAAAAATTCTTTGAATGGAATATAAATAATTTTTGTTCTAATGATTCAATTAAAACATAAAATGTAAATTAAATGATAATTTATTACTGCTTTTGCATAAAATATAAATAATCCTACCTCCCACATAGCTTTCATGTTGACCAAATGATCTTGAGTAAGTTGATTTTCCCACTCAATCACTTCTGAATAGTCCCTCTTTCTTCCCACTTTTCTCCCAGGTACATGTTTCTTTTTGTTCTCTTTTTCCATTTTATCCTTTATTTTATTCACATAAAATAAAATTCGAGATGTATCATTTAATGAGGAGTTTAAAGAACGTTTGCTTTCCACTGTAAAATAAATTATATATTAGTTATGTTAATTATATATTTGATATATATATAAATAAATTTTTTTTATGTTGAAATAATACTTATTTTGTAATATGTCCATAATATATAGTTTAATTAATTCAGAAATGCATTTTTTACAATTATATATAATGATTAATACCATTTAATATGTCATCATTGTAAACAATCAAATTGAAAATCTTTGTTAGTTCAAACTTGGATAGTTTGAAATCCCGTTAGATCGTAACTGTATTTTTGTCGTGGCCAAGGATACAGAGATTTACATGTTAGGAATTCAGTTAGCTTGAAATATGGCTTCTTCATAATCCAAAATGAAAGTTCTGTCTGCACTATAATATGCATATGCTAACTTGTTCATTTAGATTGAAGTGCTCCATACTATAAACAGGGTTCCTACTCAAATTTTTGTTTTAAATTCTATGACTTTCCCTGACTAACTTTGTACAAATTCCCTGACCATCATGTCCCTTACAGTCAGAAAACATCACGACTTACTATTCACATAAAAACTTGGAGAAGCAATAGCGTAACTGATTATTTTTTCTAATTTACAGTTTTATATTTTTTACAATCAATGAATTAGTAAAATTAAAATTAAAATAAGCACATTTATGGCATGTCTTCTCTACACAAAATTAATTTATCCTGTTAACAACTCATAACTGTAAAACTTCATGGCTTTGAAAAAAGAAAAAAAGCCATTATTATTAAAAAATTCTGTATAATCCATGTACAAAGTTATAAATTTATTTAATTTGACCCTTAATAAATATTCCGAACTTTATAAAATATTAATAAACTGGGAAAATGTTTCAAAAATCATAAACTGTTTTGTTATGCAATCAAAATTATTAAAATAAAAAATGATAAATAATATATTTAAATTAAAATTAAGTTATTTATCATTTTTGGTTCTTTGTTAACAATCTTTTTTTTTCATCAGTTCATTAACACCTGCCCTCAAATTAAAAGTGTAAATTGCGTGAGAGAGAAAGACTTAAAATTTTTGAAAAAAAAATTTTTTTATATCAAGGATAGATTTTTCTCTCAAACTTATAATACTGCATAGTTAATACAGCAGTCTTAAAATCTAAAAGTATTTTAAAATTTAAAAATAACAATTGATATTGTTGTATGCTTGTATATTTTGTGCACTATAATTTTTGGGAAATTTTGTGCATGTTTGGGTGAAATTTTGGATTTTGAAAATATTCCACATCCCCTTTTCATAAGTTGCATTGTACCACAGTACTTCTTGCTGCCTGCAGACAGCTACACTTCTGAGATTGCAGACAGCTCATGTCTGAGATTGTAGCCATATTGCGTGTTGTTTAACATGTTGGATAATGGGTTCAGGGCTAGGCAGAACCAGAGGACTCAAGAAATCTCCTTGAAAAATTCCTCGCCTAATGAATATTTCGCTTCTTTGTATGGAAGTGTTACTAACCCTGAGATGTAGTGTTGTTCTCCAGTGCTGCATAGTGTTTTGGAAGAATGCAATGAGTGATGGATGTATTTTGTACATGTGTAGAATATGTAACAGCCAACTGTGTGGAACACTGTCGAATGCTGTTCTGTAGTCTATATATGCCATGTGTATGTTTCTGTGTTGTTTGTGTGCTTGCCGTAGAACGACTGAATCTATGAGTAACTGTTCTTTGCATCCCCTGTGATTTCTACGGCAACCTTTTTGTTGTTCTGTAAGAATGTCGTTTTCTTCAACATGTTTGTATATTTTGTTTGTGATACGGAATGTCAATAATTTGTAGTGTTAGAAGACATGTAATTGGTCTGTATTGTGTGGGGTCTGTGGTGTTGTTGTTTTTAGGTTTCATGTAGGTGATGCCCTGAGTAAGAAATTTTGGCATGTCTTGTGGATTGATGATGATGTGTGTTAGATGTTTGGCTAGTTCCTGATGCAGTGATGTAAACTTTTTGTACCAGAAATTGTGAATGTTGTCTACACCAGGTGTCTTCCAGTTGTGTGTTCTGTTAACAGCGTAGTGGATGTCGTGTATGTTTATTTCAGCACAGGGCATAGTTGGTATGTTGTGCAAGTTTCTGTTCTCCTCCT